ATAGTGACCAGAAGTGAATGGGTTCTTGGAGAATAGCTCAATAGCTCACATTAACCAAGCCCTCAAGGGAACACATCAACCAACAGCAGCTTATCAATTCATTACTGGAGAGTCAACTGGCACAAGAGCTAAATCAGATCCTCTTCTAGACGTGGATCCTGGTGATTATCATGGCAAGGGCAAAACTGCAACCAAGGAGCTGCATATTTTCAAAGACAAGGCTTTCTCCTGGTGATAACCCATCAGATTAATCCCACACTATTCTGGGGAAAATCATGTGTAGAGAGGACACTCCAGGACCAGTCAACCAGAATCACAGCACATTCTCTTTGGGCAGAACCCACCAGTTCTTACAATTCTTACTCTCTGACAGCTTTCTTTCATCCCTGACCCAAAGCTCCTTCTCCTGATTACTGACTAACTGCAACACAATTGAAAAACTACAGCTTCTGTCCATCACTTACATCTCATAATTGTGTCTCCCTAAACACATGCTAATCTCTTGATGAAGACGACAGCCTGTCTATGAGCACCATCTCGTAGACTGAATGGCTAATTATATGTATCATATGCTATTTTCACTGGCTTCCATTCTAGAGGCAACCTCATTTCCAGTGGTACAAAATCATATTCTCTGGAACCTTGAGTCCACTCATTTATATTGAGTGTAATCACTGAATGTATAAAATGGAATGTGCCAGGTGATGATACGTTTAATCTTATACTTTAGTAGCAGCAATGAGTAGGCTCTGGTGTGTTAGCCCCCATGCAGGTTACTATCTCATTACATAGTGTGCAGAGGGTAGTAAAAACTCGTTATCCCCTTAGCTACCTGGGGAGAGATGTGCTGTCAGGAACAGAGGATTATCTGGCAAAAACAGTTCATCCCTGCTGACGCTGGTGTGAGGCAGTAAAGGTTCTGAAACTTGGTTGGCCTCAGGTAGCTTCTCAAGTTCTGAAAGAAAAGAGAAATGGCACAGAAAACATCAGAAAGCCATCACATGCTCAGGAGACCACATCATGCCTTGGACCTAGTGTCATCACACACCTCACAGAGAAGCCCAGAGGATGTTTACCTGGACCTCTGAAAAGATGGAATAGCATCTCTGGAGAGGATAAAGCCCACTGCCAGACTTTAATGTGGAATTTGAACCAGACAGCCAAAGAAACTAAACTCCCAAGTTCATAGAAAGGGAAGCAAAGGGTAAAAGATCAGAGATGCTTGCTTCCTCTTTCCTCCAGTCAGCCAAAGCCCACAAAACAGCCAGAATGGGATGTGTCCACGTGGCCCCTCACCACTGAAAGTTTCAGGCCAGCATCTCCCTGGAACAGGAAGGGAGGAAATTCGGTTCCCAGATAGCAGTGCCCAGATGGGCCATGAAATGAAGCCTCATGCAGCTCTATGTAGGCACAAAAAACCTGGAAATGGTGATGTGTGACTTCGCACAGCCAGAAGTCTCAAGGCCTCAAGCTATGTTCAGCCCAGCTAGGGAGGCCAGCGGGAGTCCCTGAAACAACTGAATCCCACACAGCTTCTTTCTGTTGCCAGCTTCACTGAAAAGTGTGCAGAAGGACTGGAGTCCATCCTGGAGTCCCTCTGCTCCACGCCTACACACCGTACCCACGCATTCGGTTGTCCGCACCACTTCCTGCCGACTCCTGCCGCATGTGACTTCTGCTGGTTTATTTATGTCTCATAGATACTTATCCCAGCTGCCTCAGCCTCACAGAGAATTTGTGGCACCTTCCTATCTCCATTTGCCTCGTGAAGAAATTAAGGGCAAGAACAAAAAGGAAACTTGAAGCACAGAACTGATAGCTCTTTAGAGACTCAGGCACCAAAGGGTGGAAGCAGGTCTTTGATGCCCACTCACCCTCCCCTCTACACTAGTGAAAACCACGCAAGAGCTGACGCCAACTTGGCCACATGGAGTCTGAGATGCAAAGGCTTGAATGGAAAAAGAGCTCCTACACCACAGGATGGGAAGAGGATACACATGGTCCCGGAGAAATTATTGCACAGAGAGAAACCTGCTTTTCTCTGCAAGACTGATAAACACCGTGACACATCCAACATGCTAGCCTACCAGCCACTTGGCTTCCTTTGCTCCATCAAACTTCCCCTCCAACCCACTGCAGCAAACCATTTCCAGGGACACATCTGGAAAGGCGCCACCTCTGAAATCTGGGCTGCGAGCTCCTTAAGAGCAGGGACCATGTCTTCATTCTGCTCTTTGTTCCTAGGCCCTCCCATAGTGACTATGGGTGACTGACTCACACTCAGAAATCCCACTCTCCAACCAGAACCAGAACCTTATATCTTCCTACTTCTTTCACCACTGGAATCAAGGATGAGGCAGAGAATTCTTAGGCTTGACACCAAAATTACATTCCAAAACAGGGAAAATTGATAACTTGGACACCATCAAAATTAAACACATTTCCTCTGTGTTAAGAGGATGAAAAGACAAACTATAGGGTTGGGGGTGGGGGGGGGATTTGCAAATTATTTATCTGCCAAAAGGAATAGTATGTAGAATATATAAAGAATCTTCAAAAATAGTGACAACATCAAATGTTGATAAGGATGTAGAAAAATGGATCACTCATACATTGCTCATGGAAATGTAAAATGAAACAGCCACTATGGAAAACAATTTGGCAGTTTCTTAAAAAAAAACATACAAACATACAACCAGCAACTGCATTGCTCCTTGGCATTTATCTCAGAGACATGAAGACTTAAGTTCACACAAAATCCACATAGGTATTTATAGTAGCTGTATTTGTAATAGCTCCAAACTGGAAACAACCCAAATTTCCTACAATGAGTGAATATTTAAACAAAATGTGGTACATCCATGACATAGGATACTACTCAGAAAAACAAAACAAAACGAAACAAAATCTTAACTCATGCAACAACCTGGATGAATCTTCAAAAAATTATGCTGAGTGAAAAAATTCAATTTCAGAAGGTTGCATATTGTATGGTTTCACTTATATAAGATTCTTGTAGTGTCAGATTATAGAAATGGGGAACGAATTAGTGGTTTCAGGGGCTAAGGAGGGGGTGGGGTCAGAAGGGTGGTGAGCACAGCTATAAGAGAGAAACAGGGGGAGGCTTGTGATGACGGGAATGTTCTGCATCTTGACTGTATCAGTGACAACATCCTGGCTGTGGTCATTGTACTACAGTCTTGCAAATTTTTATCATTAGGGAAACTGGTTCAATGGAACATAGGCTCCCTGTATTATTTCTTACAATTGCATGTAAATCTGAAACCGTCTCCAGAGTCATCCTGAATCATAATTTTCACATTAAAGTTTAAAAAGCATGAATCCAAAAGACTCAACCAAGATATCAGGGGAAATTCAAAATTCTTTCTTATAAGCAACAGTTGAAGGGAAGAGAATTTCATCTGGGGAAATCTTGGAGAATGAGGTGGTGAGAGTTTCCTTCTTCTAGAATATGAAGGGATTATGCAGAAGAAATTAGACTTGGTTCATGCAGCACCAATGAACAGAACACAGGCTAATGTAGGGAAAACCTCATAAGCTTCAGGATCAGGCCTGAATTTAAACCTCGGCTCCACCATCCCCTATCTTTAAGACTGAGACAAGTTAGTTGACCTTATCATTAAAATGAGGCTGATTCCTATCTCAACCCATCAGTCAGCATGGAAGCAGAGAAACAGAAACTGTTTCAAGTATTTTCAACAGAAAGAATTTAATGCAGGGAACTGACTACAATGATAAAGATAGAAATGCAGGTGGAAGGTGAGAGAGAGGCTGAAATGTGAAGCCTCACATAAGAAATGACAAATTTGAGGGTTAAAGTACTTCTGAAATTGACATGACTTTTAAAGCTTATTTATTTTGAGACAGAGAGCAGTGGAAGGGCAGAGAGAGAAGAAGAGAGAGAATCCTAAGCAGGCTCCTCACTATCAGCAAGGAACCCGATGTGGGGCTTGAACTCATGAACTGTGAGATCATGACCTATGCTGAAATCAAGAGTTGGACACTTAATCAACTAAGCCACCCAGGCACCCCTCAAATTGACATGAGTTTTAAAAGATGAAATTAGTTGGAGTAAGGTTGTATGGGGTGGGACCATGAGGCAATCAAGACAGCAGCAAAATTGGACAGCAGACAGTTGAAGGGACAAAGGGAGGAGGCAGTGTTGCCCAAGAGCCGGGTCACCAGGGAGAATCTGGAATCACAGAGATGTGGCCACTACTAGAGGAGATGCTTGAGGAAGAGACGGAGGGAGAAAACACTGGCTTCCTCCTTTCCTCTACCCTCTAACGTCCCAGTGGTGCCTCCATGGGCCAAACCCAGCAGGAAGCCAGACCACCCTTGAGGCTGAGAAAGGCAGCCTGCAGGTTGGCTCCTGCTGTCCAAGATAGAACAGGGATCAGAAGGCAAATAGGCCCAGTCTGGTGCGCTTCTGGGTGTTTGTGAGGATACAGAGTATGTAAATGCCTGGCACATAGTAGGTGCTCAATAAATAGTAATACCAACTTTTACGTGCCAGTGTTATATGATAAGCATTTAGAAGCACATTTTCTCATCACTTTATATCTAAATATATAGTAACACAAGCTGGGATATCTGGCTCATGCCACATGGACTCTGCCAAGAGTGCTTTTTTTTTTTTTTTTCCCCAAATGGGCTACATATCTGAGAAATGTGAAAAGCAGCCCTGTCCTAGAGTTTCATTGTATAAAGCAAATGTTGAATTTCCACAGCTGCTGGCTTCTGCCTACCCAGAGGAATAGTTTCAGTGAAATATTAATCTCGTAGAAAGCCACACTGGGGTAAGACTGCACAGTAATTCAAGCAGCATGTGCAAAATTTATTTAGTGTTGGCCAGGGATGGTTTTAATTATGTGAAGTCTTCAGAATGAGAAGAAAGTGACTGAAGATGCTTGACTAAATCAGTCACAGAGGCTCTGGATGCTCCCAGCACCCTCCCCAGTTTCGGTTCATTTCTGCAGGCCCCAAACCACAAACACAAAGGAAGCTTCCATGGAACAGGATTACAGCACTGCCAGCACCCAGGTGCAACCAGCAGCAGAAATGGCCAAGACAGGAAACATCAGCACCAGCAGCGCAGAGACCTCCATGTAGCATGAAGGTCAGGTGTCCAGGTGTGGGAGGATAACCACGGCGGGACAGAGGGAGGCAGGATGCAAGATGCTTTCATCAAAGGTCCCAGGTGGATGCAGGGTGCAGAGTGTGCTTGCTGTGCACCTGCTGGACACCTCTCATTTCCTGGAAGTCACTTGGGGAGGTATGGTGTTGCACTTGAAGTAGCACTTGGGAGCTGAGAGAGGGCCCGTACCCATCCCTAAGGACCATATGTGCCCTGAGGACTGAACTTGCAGACAGCAAAGTGGAGCCAGTCCTGTGGGCCTTAAAAAGAGGCACCAGCCAGAAGCCACAAGGTGTCCCCTAAGCTGGTGGGAAAAAAAAAAACCCGGGAAGGCAGCCTCCAGGGCCCTGGCACCAGCCTGGAGACCGGGCCTTCTGGCCCAGGAAGGCCTAGATGAGTGAGAAATAAGAAAGAGAACACAAATTTGCAAAGGAGATGGATGAGCAAAGGCTGGTCCTGTGAGGGCTTGGAGATGAACAATACAAGGTTCTCATCATCAGCCCTAGGTCAGCCCATCAGGGGGTCAGTATTTAGTGCCTCAAGTCAGATAAGGTGCCAAAGCCAGGCTGGTCGTAGCTGAGAGGAGTGACCTGACAGAGGAGTCCAAAACACTGAGGTTGGACAAGGGGGAATGGGAGTCTCCACTTGGATTTGCCAGATATCTCTTCAGCCCATTGTGTCCTGAATTCATTCCTCGCCCACCCGTTTCCTCTTTTCTCTGCAGTGTTCATAATATCCTGAACCTCCCAATCACTCGGGTTCAAACTTGGGGGTTATCATGAGCCCTTCCTCTCCCTTGCCCTGAAAATTCTACCTCCTATCCCTTCTGACTCTCCGTGCTCTCGGCCACTTGCCTAACTCAAAAAAGCCTCCCACCCAACCCTCCCCGCCCCCCCCTCCCCCACCAGCATCATACACAGGAGCCAGGCTGAGCACTAGGAAACTGTTCTAATAATGCCACTCTCCTGTCCTAAAATCATCTCCTACACAGTAAAATTCTTTCCAATAACAGCCCAATGTCAAGCAAATAGAATCACTCTCTTCTTTGTATACTTCCCAACCAGTTCCACCTCTGGGTTTTACTCTGCTAAATGTACTTCTCTACATTATTGCATTTCTGAGTCCTACCCATCCTTCAGGATCCACATCACATCACCTCCTGCAAGAACATTCTTTGATCTTCCCCTGCATACATAATTGTTCTCCCTTTTGGATAGATTTCTATAACCCTGTGTGCCAATCTTCTGCATATAGTAAAAGCGTGTGCTTTTTAAAAAATATTTTGCACTAGGCTATAAGCTGTTTGAAAAGAGGGGCCTTCCATCATATTCTCCTTCATGGAGGAAGTATAAGAAAACCCTGGAACATAAAGTCTGTCCAGTTTGTAATAAATGTAAAGAAGTGTGGGGGAATACCACTGGAAAGGAAGAAAGCAAGACTGGAGTCATGCTGTGATCCTGGAGTGATAACTGCAGGTACTTGGGAGTCATCAGTCGGTATGTGCCCTGACGAAGCATACCAAATGTAGAGGAAAAGGTCCATGGCTGGACTCTAGAGGGAACCAGCCTGCCAGTGTCAGTTGCAGAAAGAAGAAACTGTCATGTGGACTGGCAGGAAGTGGTCAGACAGAATCACAACATTCCTACCACACTGGGCCTGAAAAGAATTCCAGCCCTGTTGGTCAGCCATACCGACATGTCTTGAATCTCTGACCGAATCCTGTGTGGCTTTCTCTTTAGAACTGCAAGTAAGGGGCACCTGGGTGGCACAGCTGGTTAAGCCTCTGACTTCAGCTCTGGTCACGATCTCACAGTTCATGAGTTTGAGCCCCGTGTCAGGCTCTGTGCTGACAGCTCAGAGCCTGGAGTCTGCTTCAGATTCTGTGACTCCCTCTTTCTCTGTCCCTCCCCCACTCACACTGTCTGTCTGTTTGTCTGTCTCTCCCTCTCTCCCCAAAATAAGTAAACATTAAAAAAAAAAAAAGAGGGGCGCCTGGGTGGCGCAGTCGGTTAAGCGTCCGACTTCAGCCAGGTCACGATCTCGCAGTCCGTGAGTTCGAGCCCCGCATCGGGCTCTGGGCTGATGGCTCAGAGCCTGGAGCCTGTTTCCGATTCTGTGTCTCCCTCTCTCTCTGCCCCTCCCCCGTTCATGCTCTGTCTCTCTCTGTCCCAAAAATAAATAAACGTTGAAAAAAAAAAAAAAGAATTGCAAGTAGGGCTGGACATGTGGGCAGACTTGTGGATCCTTAATCAAGACCATCATTAAAAAAGGCGATCCACTTGCCATGTTATTCCTAACCAGTATTCCTCACACAGAGGCTTTGGTCCACCACCAGAGGCACCTCCCCCAAGTCCAGGCTATCTGAGGCATCTGCAAATGTGGGGAACTCAGAAATAACGCCCCACCGAGGAACATGCAAATGGGAACAAGACACATTCCTAGTCATCTGATTCTTTTTTGTGTGGGCCTCCTGGTCCCAATCTGACTTCTCCATTCACTACAGTTAACATCAGAGGATAGATCAGAAGGGTGGAGCAAAATCCCTGAGTTCAGGGAGTCTGCAAGGCCAGTTTAGTCCCTCGGGGAGATGAAGGAATGAGAAAGTCTAGGTAGGGGGTGTGCCAGCCTTCCTTGGCAGGAACCACGTCAGTCCTTGGAGGCAGGCAGCTTCCACCTGAGCCCTTCCTGATGGCTATTTGCCAGGGGCAGCTAGTCCCACAGCCACACAGGACCTGCTCTGTGCCACTGCAGTTCAAGTCAAACACAAGGCTTGAGCATCTGGAAGGTGAACATTCCCGAGCAGGGCAGATGTCTCTCTGATTCCAACAGGGAGGCCCTCCCAAGCCAGCTCCGGCAGCTTCCCTGAAACCACAGCTGTCTTACACCTTACTCTGATACACTGGAGCCCAACCTACATGTTTCGAAGATTCTACAAATGTTTGAATCAAATTACATTTTTAAAAATGTTTTTCAAACCAGAAGCAGATACAGTCACATGTGTGATAGGCCAAGCGTGAACAATCGCAGACCCCATGAGCTACAGGTCAACGCACTCATGCTCACTTCGGAATAAAGGTTCTCCTGCCAAAACCGTGCATATGTTTGAACACATGTAATTAATTAGGAAAGCTGCAGTTCCAAAAAATGTCTTTTCACAATTCAGACCGCAGCAAGTCTCCTCATGCTGCAAAATCGGATGGGTAGATACTGCCACCCTGGCTCACGTGGGCCATGCTCAGTTAAATGCCAGGCAACCCTCAGGGGAACCATGGAGTGCTTGCTCATATAAAGAGCTAAGAGTGAACGGTACAGCAAGGAGTGACCACACAACATGCTGCACCGTGTATCACTGGCAGTTTTAGTGCTTGTTTTAGCCTCAGAGTGCTCGGCAAGCTTTTGGGGGGGGGGCACCTGGGTGGCTCAGTCAGTGGAGCATCCGACTTCGGCTCAAGTGATGATCTCATGGTTCATGAGTTCGAGCCCCACGTCGGGCTCTGTGCTGACAGCTCAGAGCCTGGGGCCTGCTTCAGATTCTGTGTCTCCCTCTCTCTCTGCCCCTCCCCTGCTTGCACTCTGTCTCTCTCTCTCTCAAAACAAAACAAACAAACACATTTAAAAAGTTATTTTTAGAGTTCTCGGCAGGCTTTTAAAATACCAACTCAGCAATGCAGGGCCATGAAGTTACCATCCCCTCCTATAACTGATGAAGTGAAAATGACAACCGAAGTTTGGACTCCACCTGCCAAATTAAATTAACCGTTCCCTTCCTTTCCCTCCCCTCCCCTTCCCTCCCCTCCCCTTCCCTCCTCTCCCCTCCTTCCTTCCTTCCTTCCTTCCTTCCTTCCTTCCTTCCTTCCTTCCTTTTGCTATGTTAAAGGTTTTAAGTGATTACTAGAGAGAAACAGGCATTGGAGTTTCTGAAAATAATTTTAATAACGTAATTAACGTTTCATAATGATACACTATGTTTTGAGCAAGTGTTTTCTGCCAAACAAAGATGTAAATAGTTTGAAGAACCTGTTCATCTATTCCTTTCAATCAGATCCTTTGTAATTAAGGAATGCAAACAGTTTTCACGTAGGGTTAGTGAGTCAACATTATAAGCAATTTTTCCTGTATTCCTCTTTCAAAGTTCTGGGTTGTTTTAATCAGAATAACCTAAATCTACAAGGGATCCTGCTTAAAAGTGTTATCACTACCAATGGCTGGTAGTCATAATTTTCACAAGGCCATGGTGCTAATACAAAACACAGGGACGCATTAATAGTGAGGGTGTCTGGAGGCTGTACCCATCATTCCAGACCCTCCATTTCAAATTTTCATGTTCTTCATGACAATGTCATTGTTTCCATTATTCACTGTATGTTATAAGCTAGAGTTATCACAGAAAATAACATGCAACAAAATATTGGGCTTTTTTTTTTCCATTTTACTCATTGATATGCCATATAAGATTTAACTTAAAGAGTTTATTTTAATTTTTATTTATTTTGAGAGCGAGAGCATGAGTGGAGGAGGGGCAGAGAGAGAGGGAGAGAGAGAATCCCAAGCAGGTTCCACATTGTCAGCGTGGAGCCTGACTCGGGGCTTGATCCCACGAACTGTGAGATCATGACCTAAGCCAAAATCAGGCTGACTCAGCCAGGCAGGCACCCATCCCTTAAAGAGTTTTAATGCTAAAAAAATTTTTGAATCACTAGATCATTCAATACATAGAAGAAACCCAATATATTTAGCAGGAAGGGATTAAAGAACAGATCTTCTTGATTAGAAAGGCAGAAAGCAGATGAGAGTTGATGTGCTTCAGCAGAGCCCCAGGTACAAACTTGGGGCTCAAAAAGGTAATTGTTGAATTATCAGTGTAGCAGAAATGGCAGTCTGTTGCTCCTAAAATTGGGAAAGGGAGAAGCTTTGGAAACAGAGACACAGAGAAGGCCACGGAGGCAGTTTTGCTTGTCCTAGGAGAACCAGGTTCCTACAGGCAAGGAAGCAGGCCTTTCTTCGTGTGAGCAGGGCACCCCAGAGAGATGGCAGTGAATGGGTAGTCACATGTGGCCACTGACCACCAGGGCCAGCATAGCAGTGATGTCGGCGTAATGGAGAGAATGTCAGGAGCCGTGAGGTCTCTGGGCTTGTGGCAGAAGAAAAGTAATGGTCAAATGATTTAGAGGGAAGAAGTCCAAAGGAAAGTGCAGCTTGAAGTGAGTAGGAGCAAAGCACAGACTAGGAATCATTCATGTATTCATTCACTCACTCATTTATTGACTAAGCACCTATTAACACAAGCATGATACTAGAGGCTGGGGTTACAGAGATAAACAAGCTCCCGTCAGTGTCTCTCTCGAGGAGGCAGGTATTATTCCCAAAGGGGAGCACAGGGAGAAAGAGAGGATGGGGGGACAGAGAAGTGAGTCTCCAAAAAGGAATGGGAATTGCAATCAAGTGGGTAATAGCTGAGGATGGGGCAGGAGGAGCACATTCCAACAGAGACAGTACTCCTGTAGAAAGACAAGATTTGATATGGAAATCTATATAGTTGGGGAATAGCAGGTGGGTCAAAAGGAATGAAGCACAAAGTGAAAGGAAAGGAACAGCAAGAGATGATGCTGTTGAAGGGACCTGGCATACTCTGCTAGGGAGCTTGGACTCTCCCCTGTTGGCACTAGGGAGCCAAAGAGGACACTAAGCTGGGGACAACATAGTATTCATAATCTGCATGCACACTTCCCTTTGCAATTGTTTCACCCCATTTGCTTGTGTGGCCTCCCACAAAAACTCCCTGAGAGCAGGAAACTGTCTTTGTCACCTTTTTCATCTTTACATCCTCAGAACTTAGTGTAGTGGCCGGAATGCAACAGGAACTCAACACTTACATTTTACAAACTGGTAAATGAGTGAGCAGAGTGCCAAGTAGGGAAGGACAGTTTAAGAGGACAAATGCACTCGAGCATGGCTTAGAGAGCACTGGCCAGGGCAGAGGCTGAGAAGTCAGGAAGGGAAACCATCTGAAATATGACAAATCAGGAGCCATTAGAGACAGAATCCACATGTCCCCAGCAGCACATCGAGGAAGTGGACAGAAAGATGACCATCGGTGGAGATACCTTACTTAGAGTAGATACCACTCAGTCACATTGCCTCGGGAAGCAGTCTGAACTCCTGGGCTGTGTTATGAGCTGAGCTGTGTCCCTCAAACAAACAAACAAACAAACAAACAAACAAACAAACATATGGTGAAGTCTTAACCTCAGTACCTCAGAATATGACCTTATTTGGAAATAGGATCTTTGCAGGTTTGACCAAGTAAAGATCAGGCCATTAGCATGGACCCTCATCCACTGTGGCTGGTGTCCTCATAAAAAGGGGAAATTTGGGCTCAGACACACACACAGGGAAGACGATGTGAAGACACAGGGAGAAGACAAAAATGCTACAGGAAGCTACCTGGCTACTAGAAGCCGGGGAGAAATCTGGATCGGATGCTTCTCTAGTGTCTTCAGAGGGAGCCTTGCCCTACTGATACTTTTTCTAGCATCCAGAACTGTGAGACAATAAATTTGTCTCACGAATTTATTATCTGTTGTTACCTGTAATTATCAGTTGTTCTAATCCATTTGGTCTGTAGTACTTGGTTATAGCAGTCCTAGCGAGGGAGAAGGCTGGTGGTCAGAAGCAGATCAACAGCTGTGGCAGACACCTGTGTTTATCTCCCCAAAAGGCATTTCCCCTTCCTGCTTGCTGCAGGAGCCCTTTTGTTGTGTCCATCTGCCAGGGGCCAAGGCGTGACGGGTCATGCGACTGATCCACGTCAATCATGGCGGTCTCTTTGCCATTCCATTTACCATGTGACCCAGTTCTGGTCACTAGGTCTCACTAAAAGGACTGCTGTATCCATGACATAATTCAGTTGTTTTTGGATATTTCTCAGCCTCTAAACCCCTGTTTAAAATATTCAGTGCAGACTGTCTCTAGCTGAATCTGGACAGATACTAAATTAATGATCAGTGGGGGTTCTAGACAACCCAATGGAGATGGTAACTGAATTGATTTCCTTGACCACAACCTGGTCAGGTTTGTCCTTTCGGGGGCTAACCTTGGCCTCTAGAGTTTAAACCTACAAATCTTCCCTCATCTGATACCATTATCTCCATCTGACACTATTACCTCAATCTGACAAACATCTCCTGGGTATCTAAATCAGGCAGTGAATCAGGCGATATTCTAATCTCAGCACTTGCATTCAGGGATTTCCTAATCTGTAACCTAATGCCACACTGTCTCCTCCATATTATAACATGCACAGATCATCAGGTTAGAACAGTAAGTCTGGGTCTGAGTTTTGCTGCATGTCCTCTGTCCAGCACAGAAGAGTAAGCTCACACCTGATATTTTCCACAGTTAAAACACACGTCCAGTCCTTGCTGTGCCCGAGGCTAATTGATAACCTTAAAGGGTGGAATGGGTCTTCACAGGGACAGAAAGAAAGGAGAGGAGGGAGCTGGGAGACTTAGGGAGAGGGACTTCATGCCCTGCAAGGATGGGAGATTACATTTAGGAATGGCACAGGCTTTGACACTAGACCCAGGTTCAATGTCAGCTCCATGATGTACCAGCTATGCGATTGTGGGCCAATGACTTAGTATTTCTACAGTTCAGTTTGGAAATACAACTTGATATTCTTAAGAATTGTGCTTAACAATGGGGCAATCTAAGTAATGCACCTAGCATGGTGTCTTGTGACCAGCAGGTGACCTCCCAGGATATGTGTGTGGTTCTGAGTCACACATACAGAATGTCTGAACTTTTATATATTTTTTTCACTGGAAGAATTAGTCCACTGAGCATTGAAGACACAACAAGACATGTTCCCATCAAACTGGTCATGTAGTCCTGTCACTTTCACCTCAGAGTGTGTCACAAACCATTTCTCCCTATGATCTTCCATTTAGTTCCCCTGAATTAAAGCGATGGCTCTTAACTGGCCTCCCTGCCTCCATTCTCTCCCAGTCCTCCAGTCGAACCTCCAGTGAGCCACCAGAATTGTTATTCCAGAGCAGGGACTGGTTAACTACAGTCACAAGCAAATCCAGCCCATTGCCTGCTTTGTACATAAAGTTTTATTGGAACAGAGCCATGCTCATTCATTTATGCCCCATGGCTGCTTTCCCACTGTAGTCTCAGAGCAGAGTAGTTGTAGCAGAGACTGTAAGACCTGCAAAGCTTAAAATATTTACTCTCTGGTCCTTCACAGAAAAATTTTTCTGGACTCTTGATAACTTGTTCTAGTAGTACACGCCCCCCAATAACTCACCAGTCCCTCCTTTGACTGGCCTCCAAGAGAAAGTCAGTGCTGTGTGAGTTGGCTCTTGCCTATTTCCTGGCTCACCTCTTGCTACTCCCCTACCTGCAACCTAATCTCCATCCTCACTGAATGAGTGTCCTCCAAGCACACCAGGCCCCCTTCATCCAGAACACCTCTATTCCCTTTCCATATAGAATACTTCTATCTGTTCTTCACTATTCCTTCTTTTATGAAGCCTTCTAGAATTGCCCCCCTCAGCCCTATCCAAAGACACTCCTTCCTTAGAAGTGATATGCCACCAATAAATGGGACATCGTAGACCCTAGATATGGATCTTCATATCTCTCTTCCTTACTAGACACCCCCACGTTAAACTGTCTTCTCTCTTTATCCCTCCTAGAGCACACTGTTCTTTCCCAGCATAGCATTTACCAGAGTTTGTGATTATGCATTTCTTTGTGTTTTATCTCTTTAATGTCTGTCCCCTAACAACTGTGAGCTCTAAGAAGGCAGCAACCAGACTGTTAAGATTCACCACCACACAACCATCGTGTAGCCCGGAGCCAGCCACACAGTAGTTGTTCAGTTTGTCAAATGAGCAAATGAGTGGACAGATGAAAAAAAAAAGATTTTACTAATAAATCAAATACAAATGAAAGAACCTAAGGCATCAAAACTGTTACTTCCTAAACATACCAGATATTGCCTCTCAGACCCTTCAGGTACTCCCATGGTCCAGAAGGTCAGACGGGCATAGGCACCACTGATGGTTCTGTTGTAGATATTTGGAGCACGTATACAAACCCTCATTCTTGGAATCAGTGCGGAACGTATACATGGCCCCTTGCCGTATCAGTAAATTCAGACCCTGAAGAATTGGAATAAAGCCACATGTAGGATTATATCATTGAGTCCATGTCTGCACTGAACTATATAATTTCCTGACCATACCCTCCTGAAGAAGGACATCTTCTATTCCTTGTCTGTTGAGGAAGGATGGGCAAGGCTCCTCCTGCAGTTTTTTTCCCCCTCTGTCTCTAGGGAGAGTGTCCTGTCTGTCCATCACACCCATACCCAGCCAAAGGGTGAGAGACCTGGGTAGGACAGAATAGGGAGGGGTTTTAGGCTGAAATGATCCTTCCCTGGATCACTCCTACTCCAGCAGTACCTCCAATAGCACCAAGGGAAGCTTCAAGTTTGAAATGTGACTCTTGAAAGACATACTGTTCACTTTTTCTGAAATCCAAGCTCAAGATCAAGCAAATAATTCAGCTGAGTTGCTGCTTCATGTGGGGAAAAAAAAAATATCCCAAAGCCATTTCCTGTGTAACCTTTCTGATTCTGGACCATGGCTCTCTGGAAGCCCCATCCATAAAGGCTCTCTGTGAAGGTATGTGCATGTCTCTGAGATGTATCCAAGAAGAGCAAAGATGCCATTTCAACCAAGGCAAATTTATGAAGTTGGCAGCCAAACCCTAATTCTAGCCTTGAGCCTCCGGGATGTCAGCACCATGAACTAAGGCAAAGCTGAATTTCTTGTTTAAGTCAAGCTTTTAACCCTCTGTGGTATCTACCTCTGGTCTGAACAACAAAAGAAACCTATGTATTAAAACACAGAGATTGTCTTTGGCTCTAGATAAATGTATCTTCTCAGAGCCCGTTGGACCTGTGTCCTTTAAGCCTGGTAACAAAGCATTTATAAGGAAATGTCAGTATTTTCCATTATTAAGAACTTCAATGGCAGAAGCCAAATCATCTAGGGTCATTCTAAGTGTAGGGTGACAATCACTTTATCGTGTGCCTTCCATTTCCTGTCAGATCCAAGCAACTCTTTGTCTCCTGCAAATTTACTTACATTCCCAATCTCCTTTCCCTCCACTCAGATCATAGGTCTCATGTCCATTTCAAAGCCAGTGTCCCTCCCTGTCCCCACACTGTGCTGTGAGTCCCTTCCTCTCCAGGCTTTGTGCCATCCACCGTCCTTACCAACCTGGTGTCTCCAGAGCAGACACTAATTCCCCATATGTGATGTGGGGCCCCAGCACACTGTGCTCTCTCAGAGAGTATTTCAAAGACAAATTCAGTAGATGACGTATTGTACGTGGTCTGATATGATCTGGATTTAACCACACAGGATGCTTCACCCCGGGCATTGTGAAAGAAATTTTCTCTACTCCCCCTAACATGTGAAGCACCTATCAGGGGCTTCTTGAATGATTTCCAACCATCAACATGGAAGTCATCCAGAACATGGGGATAAATATTAAAAATACGTGTGAAAAAGAAAAATGAACATAGAGATACTTCTCCCAGTGTGCACAGTGCATTTGCGGCCCTTCTGTGGGGCCCACTCTGACTCCGTCCCTCCCTTTATATATACTAACAGGTCTTTCCAGCTCTGAGACACTCCTACCACCCAAAACCTCTCTCTCGTTACTTCCAAAGCCAAGCTTCTGGAAAGAATTGCCTATACTTGGTATCAACACCTTCCCATTTCACATTTGTTCTTTAACCCACCTCATCTTCCAAAGTCTCCTCATCAAGTCACCAATAGCTCCCTAATTCCCAAATCCATGGATATTACACTTCTTGTCTTAGTGGATTTCCACATCATTTGATGTTATTGATTCCTCCCTCCTGGATACTCTCCTCTTCCACATTCCAATCTCTCATCTCCTCCTGCCTCTCTACCCAGCCCCTTCCTGTCATCTTCACTAGGTTCCCCCCTTTCCCCTCCCTCAGAGACCACCCACTCTCTGAGGCAGTCTGGTACAGACAGGTAGCACAGGCCTGGATCTGATTGCTTGGGCTAATATCCCAAGTCCATGACTTACTACTCTATGACCTCTGGCAAATGATTTGCTGCCCCTGTGCCTCCATTTATTCATTTATAAAATAGTTACAGTAATAGTTTTCCCTGGCAATGGTTATTGAGAGAATTAACACATAGAAAGTATTCAGAACATACAGCATACACTCAATAAGCATCATAATTCCTCTTCCCATGCTCTATCTCTCTTTGGGCACTGAGCCATACCATGGCTTCATTACCTCTTGTCAAAAGTTGGCCCTTGAGCCTTCCTTAAGACTTCTCTCCTAAATGTCAACCTACAAACCAGTTGTCCACTAGACATGTCTTCGTGGCCATCCCTAAGATGCCTCAAGTTCAGTTTGTCTACAACTGAGCTCATCATCTTTTCCTGCAAGTTCCTGCAAGCCCCTCCTCCTCCACCTCCTCCCCCTCCACCCCATTAAGTCTCCTAATGAATAATAGCCCCACTATCCCTCCTCCTGGTTGCCCAGGCCAAAATCCCAGAGTCATCCTAGGACTCCTGCCCTTCCCTTACTCCCCCACGAAATCAGTCACCAAAATGTGTCAACTTTATTACCAAAGTATTTCTTGAGCTTGTGTCCAGTTCCCTGCCCTTATGGCCAATGTCTCAGAGCCTCAGCATTTCTCACCTGATGACAATAAATAACAATAATACTAAAAATAATTTTCACCACTATCATCACATACTGATTACGGATCAATCACAGTAGTGGACACTTCACATACCTCATCATGCATAATACTGAACACCATCCATTCAAGAGGGAGGAATCGGGAGTCCCTGTTTTCAGATGAGAAGACAGAGGCTTAGAGATATTTAATAAATAGCCTGTTACACAAAGGTGATATAGATGGAGGTCTCTCTGCCTCCAAACCCCAGGCTCGGTCCACTCTTTAAAGTACAACGGTGTCCCAACTGGTCTTCCTGCCACCTATATTATTCCTCTCCAATATCTACTTTACTGCCAGAGGGGTCTGTTTTTACAATGAAACTCTGACCCAGTCTCTCCTCTGTGTGAAATCCTGCAGGAGCTCTCCAGTGCCTACAGAATAAAATCTAAGTTCTTCATCAAGACTCTCCCTGATGTGGTTCCTTTGCCCCTTTACAGATCTGCCTCCCTTGATTCCATCCATGCCTAGTCCCTTCCTTCCCTGGAGCACACCATGCCTGCTCCCCTGGCCATGTGGTATTCTTCCTGCTTCCTCTGCCTCTGATGTTCTTCTCTTCTCAGCAGCCTGGATGCCTCCACCTCAGCCTCCTACAAGCACGTCCTCTTTGACTCACCTGCTGTCCAAGCTGGGTGTAGGCGCCCCTCCTTTGGATAATTACAACACTCGGTGATAGCCTCTAGCACAGAATTTTAGAGTGGCACCACAGTCACTGGTCGAGCACCTGCTATAAGCCACAGTTCACAGTAGCCTCCAGCAATCTATATCTTGCATTCAGAGAACTTACTTTATTTTTTTAAGTTTATTTACTTATTTATTTGGTGGGGTGGGGTGGGGGGGAATGGGGAGAACGCAAGAAAGGGAGGGGCAGAGAGAGAAGGAGAGAGAGAGAATCCCAAGCAGGCTCCGTGCTGTCAGCACAGAGCCCAACACAGGGCTTGATCTCATAAACCATGAGATCATGGCCTGAATTGAAATAAGAGTGGGACGCTTAACTGACTGAGCCAGGCGCCCCCAGAGAACTTACTTTAATGAGATGAACAGCAAAATGCTGTAGGCTATCTCTGAGTGTCCAGTGTCCACACTGGATTGCTGAGGTTCTTGAGCAAGAGTATCTTGTCCTTCTCTGTGTTTCCAGGGCCTAGAACTGTGCCTGCCACAAAGGGTGTCAGTAAACACCGACAGTCTGAGCTGAGCAGACACACCAAAGCCACCAAGCTGCCTCTGTGAGCACACAAGCTTCCATCCCCAGGGACGCTCTTCACTTTCATGCGTGTCTTTTCCAGACTCTAAATGTCCAGGTCATTGCTTCCTGTATTTCCACAAAGCCCTCACAGTGCATCCTACTTTAATGTGCAGCGGAGTATAATGTTGGAGAATTCCAGGCCAACCGTCCCTGCCCCATGGAACTGGCCCACTGAGGCATGAAAGGACCAAGTCCTCCCAGCAGGAAAGTGTCAGTGCTGACTCGCCTTGCAGTGCTCATTCTGCCCACCCACAGTTTCCCAGTCACATCTCACCTTAGCAAGGAAGGTTGCTGCTGTCAGAAGGGGCTCACCCAAGTGGCACAAAGGATGGGAGCTTCAGCAAAATAATGCATGCATCTTCCAGCAAGAGGCCCTTCCCACCCTCTCCCATGGGCTGCTGGGGCCTGTCTTGTCCCAACAAAGTGAGGGAGTAAAAGGACAAGTCAGCTGTGTTTGTGGAGGTGCCCAGAGGAAGACAGCTTTAGGCAGCCCTTTTGATCAGGGGTCCCCGTGCAGAAACAAGATCCCCTGACATCTGTTCCCTGCAGCTACTGACCATCTGAATGACACAGGCAGGAGGGCGTAGGGCAAAGGGGAGAGGCTTAAGTTACAGCAGGTGTTTTGTAAAAAGCCTGTTTTTCTTCTGAGTTTACAGCTGCTTCTCTGCTGAGCAGCACTTCCGCCTCATCTCACCTCGGAGGACAAAGTGCAAGCTGCCCGGGTGATCAAAGAGGAGGCGAGAGGAGGAGGACAGAGGTGCTGATCCCCAGAGCAGACAGCTTCTGAC